TTTTACTCAGTAATGTTGTCTTATAAAACTAATATTTTATTTGGCTAAAAAATGATTAAATTATTTTATGCATTTAAAAAATGCATAAAATAATTTAATCATTTTTTAGCCAAAATGCTAAAAAATGATTAAATTATTTTATGCATTTAAAGAACTAAACACATATCCAATTACTAATTTGAGGTGTTTTTATGCATTTCTAGGGTTTTTTTATATTTCATGAAACTACTACATAATTAGGTATGATTGTATTAAAACTTATCTAAGACTTTTAAAAATTAATAAACCTAAGTAGTATAAATTATAAAACAATACCTTAAAATAGTAACACAGTATAAATAAACACAAAAATTAAAAAATAATATAAATATGCATGACGTTAAGGTTGTTTTTTTTGTAAATCACGCATTTTCATAAATCACACATTTGAAAATTAAAATGAATGGATATAAAAATGGAAATAAAATTGCGCATACTTTTGAAAGCAGAAAATTCAAAATTAAATTGATGTATACCTTCTGTTAAAAACTATTGCTCTTTTTACCAGCAAGCGCCTAAATCTCTTTATAATAATACTGGACTTAATAGTAGTAGTAGTAGTAGTAGTAGTAGTAGTAGTAGTAGTAGTAGTAGTAGTAGTAGTAGTAGTAGTAGTAGTAGTAGTAGTAGTAGTAGTAGTAGTAGTAGTAGTAGTAGTAGTAGTAGTAGTAGTAGTAGTAGTAGTAGTAGTAGTAGTAGTAGTAGTAGTAGTAGTAGTAGTAGTAGTAGTAGTAGTAGTAGTAGTAGTAGTAGTAGTGCGTTTTCGAGCCTGTTTGACACGATACTCTTGGCAACCATTGCATCCGAGGTAGTGACGAGAAAGAGTCTTACCTTTGCTTTATAAGAAAACGCGAGCAAACGTGAAACTCATATTGTACGTACATAAACTTCATGTTATGTAATGTTAAAACATGTTTAAACATATATCAAGTTCAACAGTTTGATTTTCACTTAAGAACTGCATTTCGTCAACCTTTGCTTAATTTCTAATCTTTTATCCGTTAAAAAACAAAGTTTATATAATTTGAAATCTTCATAACATTACGTGACGGCGTAGTGGAGTGGTTAGTGTCTTGGTTAAAAGCCCAGTGCGCTGTCTTGGTTAAAAGCCCAGTGCGCTGGGCTTTTAACCAAGACAGCCGTGGTTCAAGTCCTACCATCGGCGATCTTCTCTTTTATTTTTTTTGCGCATGTGTCATTATTAAGATACTTATGTTATTTTAGTTAAACTTTTCAAGTTTATTTACAACTAAATTGAGCAAGGAAAATTAGTAAAAAACATGTTTATATATAGAATATAAAATCTATATAACTTTTGATTTGCATTTTAAACAACAAAACCGCGTGCCAAGCTGATAAACTTGCCACCCGGCGACCATAACTTTTTTTAAAAATGGTAAGGGGGCTTAAAAAGTATATTTTTATTTAGAACATAATTAAAGATTTTAATTTTATATGTACACTAAATTATTTTATAAAATTTATTGTTTCTAAAAATAATTAAAAGTTAAACTATTTAATATTAGCATAATACCGCTTTCTAATCTTTTGCATTTATATCCGTTAAAAACAATTTTTATATAATTTGAAATCTTTATTTGTAGTGCGTCAGCGTATCCGAGTGTTTAGCGCACTGGGTTTCGGAACATTGCTGCCGTGGTTCGAGTCCTACCGTTGGCGACTACTGTTTTAATTTTTTTTTTAGATTTTTTTAAATACAAATTCAAATACTTATAAAGTTTTATAGATATTGTATATAGACAACATATGTAAAGATATTAATCAAAAGTTTGATCCTCGCATTTTGACACAGAACCAACTTCGCTAACGAGAGAAAAAAAATCGTTCACAAATATCAAAATTTTGTTTTTTCGTTGCAAGAAGTGTCTCGCAAATGCCATTTATGTTAAAGTTAGTGTTTACGCAATCAATAAGTTTAATCTTCGTATGTAGGACATTAAAAGTTATCATTTAGATGTTTTCATTTTCTTGCGGATAATAGTTCTTATAAACTGTAACCACGCGGATAAAGTGTGCATCAATATCCTAAAGACCCGTATTTCACGGGTCATGACAGCTAGTTTTATTTATTTTTCTAATATACTATATATTTTATATATATACTTTATATTTATACTATATATTATATATAAAATAATATCAAAACTAGTATATTATAAAAAATAACAAAAATATAAACGCTTGATAATGGAAGTAGCAAGAGTTTTTAATAAAAGTTATACATTAATTTTATTTTATGTTTTTAATTATATATGTATGTATATATATATATATATATATATATATATATATATATATATATATATATATATATATATATATATATATATATATATATATATATATATATATATATATATATATATATATATATATATATATATATATATATAAATATATATTTATACAGGGTTGTTTGATGTTGCCATGTGAGCCTATGATGGCGCGGAAGTTTGCGAACTAGTCGGGATTTTGATTTTAGATCAACTTTCGCAGTTTTACAACAAAAATGATTTCGGTCAATATCGGGATGACGGGTTTGCTGTTTTCAAGAACAAAAATGGCCATTAAATGGAACAAATAAAAAAAACATGTCATTCAAGTTTTTAAACGTAACAATCTCAACATCTCTATCAATTGTAATCTTAAAATTGTTAACTACCTTGATTTAACTTTTAATCTTACTCAAAATTCATTCCAACCATACTGCAAGCCTGATAATAAGCTAAGTTATGTATATGCTGACTCTAACCATCCACTTAACATAATAAACAATTTTCCAAAAAATATCGAGCTAAGATTGTCCACCAACTCATCAAGTAAATTTATTTTTAATAAGTCGACACATCTTCATGAAGACGCACTAAAGCAATCGATATATGATTATAAGTTGGCATATAAACCAAGCATAACAAATGTTCCAAAAAATCACCACAAACGAAGTATAATCTGGTACAACCTCCCATTCAGTAAAAATGTTACAACCAAAATTAGTCAACGCTTTTTAACCCTAATTGCAAGCATTTTCCTGAAGACCACTACCTACACAAAATATTTAACAGAAACACAATTAAGATAAGCTACTCTTGCATGCCAAATATTAAATCTATCATCAACTCACACAATAAAAATATTTTATATGGTGATGTAAAATTATTAGAAAAACCCTGCAAGTTGCATTAAAAAATCTCTTTGTCCACTGAACAACAATTGCTTGTCTAACAACATTGTTTACCAAGCCCAAATAAACCTCAATACAAAGATAAGGTATACATTGGGATAAGCGAAACCTGTTTTTCTTAAATATTGAGCACTCAATATTTGCCGAACAACATATAATAACAGATTTTTCGCTCTCTATCAAACCAAATTTACAACCTGATGCACACAATAGTTTTTAAGATAAATATGATGCAACTAATGGCGTCAATATTCTTTTCTTTGCTTAACTACCTAAAAGTATCAAAATTCATTTGGGGCATGCCAGACAGTTGGATAAAAGTAGAGTTTTCTTAATCAATGGAAGCAGTTAGTAGAATTTTCTTATTTTCAATTGCAAATTAATAATAAGATAATTCAAATTGGCTCATTTTGTAGTCATGGTTTATTTTATAGTCATAGGTTGTTAGTCTCTTCAAAATTTTAGAGTTTCTGCATGTATACCTTTTTCAAAGGTACTTATTGAAATTAGACAGGTTATTATTTGTTAAGTTAATACGCCGTCATTTAAAATTATTTTATTTGATATCACTTAAGTGCTAAATAGTGTTGTAATAGCTTATTTGAAAGATAATACTTGAACTTGTTAAATTATGCAATAAAAAGAAAGGTTTTAAAACTAACCTCCGTTCCATGCTAATAAGTAACCCAAAAAATATTTTCAAATTTAAAAAAAATTTGGAAATATTTTTTAAAAAAAAAAAAAAAAGGTTATTATTCACAACAGTTTAGAAACATACGTCATGATAATTATACAAAAATATATATTTTATAAAAGCTGAATGTTTAAGCTATAAAATGGTATATAATAATGTAATTTTTAAAAATGTATTTTTTTTTACTTTTGTAAAAAAAAATACATTTTTTTTTTACAAAAGTAAAAAAAAAATGTATTTTTTACTTTTGTAAAAATTACATTTATTGAGTTGCAAAAAAATTTTTTGCAACTCACTAAATTCTATAAAATCTCTAAAAACTTGGAAGAAATTCCTGATATCTTTTATGGAAATCACTCAATAAAAATATGATATTTTTGTTTGTCAAGTTTAAACAAATTTTACGACAAGATTATAAAAAAAATATCAGATATATTTCAATGTCAAGTTTAAACAAATTTTAAGACAAAGATTATAAAAAAAATATCAGATATATTTCAATGTCAAGTTTAAACAAACTTTAAGACAAGATTATAAAAAAAATATCAGATATATTTCAATGTCAAGTTTAAACAAATTTTAAGACAAGATTATAAAAAAAATTTCAGATATATTTCAATGTCAAGTTTAAACAAATTTTAAGACAAGGTTATAAAAAAAATATCAGATATATTTCAATGTCAAGTTTAAACAAATTTTAAGACAAGATTATAAAAAAAATATCAGATATATTTCAATGTCAAGTTTAAACAAATTTTAAGACAAGGTTATAAAAAAAATATCAGATATATTTCAATGTCAAGTTTAAACAAATTTTAAGACAAGATTATAAAAAAAATTTCAGATATATTTCAATGTCAAGTTTAAACAAATTTTAAGACAAGGTTATAAAAAAAATATCAGATATATTTCAATGTCAAGTTTAAACAAATTTTAAGACAAGATTATAAAAAAAATATCAGATATATTTCAATGTCAAGTTTAAACAAATTTTAAGACAAGGTTATAAAAAAAATATCAGATATATTTCAATGTCAAGTTTAAACAAATTTTAAGACAAGATTATAAAAAAAATCGATCATAATTATATATTAAAAAATACTAAAAGTAATTATACATTATCCCTTTACATATCCCTTTATTACATATCCCTAATAATTAAAATAATAAAAGTAATTACATATCCCTAGTAATTACATACAATTACATTAAAAAATATCTTCGAGAGACATCTATTTTAAAAATTTTAAAAAATAATTTTTATCGAGCAATTTAAGAATTGATATTTACTTGTAAAACGTATCGATAACTACTTAAGTATCGATATTAACTTGCAAAACGTATCGATATTTACTTGCAAAAGTTATTGATTACTATTCAGTTGATAATTTTGCTGAAACAAATTTCATCATTGAATTGCGAATTTCTTTTTATCCACATCTTTTAACCCAATCATAAGACATCAGCTGCAATACATTTGGTCGTAATTTTGGGTCACTATAACAAAATTTAAGATAATGTTCTTGTCCATAAAAAAAAGAAGAAAAATTAATAAATTTTTGAATTAAAAAAAAACAATTAAAAGACAAACATTATTTGTAAAGTTTAAAAAAATTTAAATAAACTAAAATTTAATTTGCTGATTACCGTTGAAAACAATCATTTACAAATGTTTTACACGAATTAGAGGAGTTATCAGGCAAATGGGGTATAGTTGGATGCATACCAATGTGAAATATAGCAGCCGTAGAATCTAAATGAGACCATGGCGGTTTTGTTGTTAACATTTCAAGTACAGTACAACCGAATGACCTGTTAATAAAGTATATAACTTTAATCATCATTCTGACCCTGGTCATTATGACATCATTACGACATCATTATGCTATAATAAACTCATTAAACAATTTCAAGATTAAAAACTTAAAAGTTAAACTACAGTTTAATGCATTTGAAAAAAAATGCAATAAACTATAAATAATAATAGTGCAGGTCACTATGTTTCAAAAATACTCTTGGTGTGCACATACGTGTTACAAACAAACTTTTTGTTGATATGAGATCCTTGTAAGAAAAGGATTTAAAAAGTGACAGGTGTCACTTAATATTTATGGTTTGTGTCACGTGGTATGACGTAATAGGCCTTCATAGAAAAAAAAAAAAATTTAATCGTTATTTTCGAAACGTTTTATACCATTAGAAAGAGCTTTAAATAAACTTTCAAAATCATATAGAAATATGAATATTTTTACTTCATAAGGTATAAGACGTTATGTAAGTTACCAAACCAGGGGTCATTTATAAAAATTACCACTAGATAATATATTAAATAAATTAAAACTGAAATAATTAGGCTGGTATATATATTTATATCGGCATTGTATAAACATATAAACAATATCATATGTAAACCAAAACAGTATTTACAATTCACAATAAAAAGAAAAAAATTAATGAAGAGTAAAAAAAAAAACCCGAAAAATATTTAATTGACAGTATTAGGTAAATTAACCTTGTAATATAAATGGAATTAAAGACATTTATTGAATGAAAAGCTTCAAATTTTCTAAGATTTCATTCTTAATCTCAAAATTAAAATTAACTGTTAAAATTAACGTGCTTACAAACTGGTATTTAATAATACGAATAAATTAAAATGCGTCTTATAAATCTCTACATTCATAGTCATAGTTTTTCTTTTGGTCGTCTACATTATTATTTTTACATCCTTTAAACTTGCACATATCAGTACAGACAAGTTTATTTTTCAAAAAGGTGTACCTTTATTACTACAGTCTCCTTTACAACGACAGAGGCTCAACTTGATAAGTGCTATTGGTGCTGGCAGGTTATCAGTCATTATGGGGTCAAAAGATCCATTGTTTAGTTCCCAGCCATATAGAGTTGAAGATCAAGTTTTTTTACTTCCTGTGACGGCAAAGTTAATTCTCTGAACAAGCTTTAATGCAGTGAAAAGATTGCTCCAATCAGTCAGTGTACCTGCATGTATCGGTAGAACCTGTGTTACCGTAGATGTAGGAGCATCTGAAAGAAAGGAGTTAAAAGAACTCTATGTTGGTAATTTAAATTCCTTGTTAATCACATCAAAAAAAGCCCAAATTCGATCAATGGTGCAAAATGAAGAAAGATTGACCAATGAATGTGGAGACTCAAAACCTTGAAAGGTTTCATTGGGTGGGTTTGGTATAGCACAACTATGCGTTATAAAGATAGGTGCATGTGCAAATGTAAGATACTTTGTATGCTGTATCTTGAGCATATTTCCTTCAGCATTTGAATTACTTTAAAATGCAACATATTTGGTTCCATGAAATTCAGATTTTCCGTCAGCAGTGTTGTTCCTAAAGTCAATATTATCAATAGCAAAGTGCAATGGCATTCCTATTTGAATATTAGGAGGTACAAATGCGCATTTATTTGTTGATATGTTTTCAATAACAGCGTTTCCGAAACCATTTTCAATCTTTATAACACTATCATAGAAAATAGAAAGTCCAAGATATGCCAAGCAGTTCACCAGCTTCTTACTACAGGTTTCTTTATGCACATGTAATCCGAGGCCAACTGAGAAAGGTGTTTCAGTAACATCTCTGAAATCATTATCCGTTTTTGAGTAATGTAAGACTTGCTTATTGCTTTTTGATGCCTTTACAATAATTTACAAAATGTTATCAACACTGCTATCGATGGATTTTTTTTCCAACATAACACGAGTCTACATTTTATTTTGGTCCAAGTATAACCTACCTCAGCAAAGAAAATAATGACATCGGAGTATCAATATCAGTGTAATTTTTGTCAAACTTCAATTTTCTTTTCTGCAGGATTTCTTTCCGAATTATTTTTGCTGCCTCGAAAATTGTTGTTTAATCATCCGGATTGTTTTTAAAGTTATCTACCCCTTTTGCTAGAGCAAAGCTGTTCGGACTTTCTACGGCATGGAGGTCTTGAAAAAACTATTCTTGGCACGTTACCTTGTAGTAATTTCTTTAAGTAACGTTTATAATTAACCTCAATCTGGTCATTATTCCCAATTAAGTTATTGTAAGTTTTATTGATGTTGCTCATATCCATAGCAAAACCATCTTCTTTTAAGTTTAAATGGACTAAACCAATGATTTCTACATCTGTGATAACCCTTCCAATATCATCCAATTCTTGAATTTCTTCTTGAGTTGTTATCAATTTAACAGATCTCTGCACTGTTACCCAACATTTTAGGTGGTATTTAACATCATTTGCAACGGCGTCATCAGACTTTGGAATAGTATTCATTCTTAGGAAGAATTTTTAAGAAGAAATCATTAAGCGACTTGGAAAACTTTTAACATTTTTTTACCAGTCTTTGTAAACTTAACTTTTCGAAGTTCCCTGCCCACACATTGGCAAATCATACAAAGTTCATTGTTGTAGACTTGAGATTTTGAACGGAGCAATTTTCCTTTACCTTTTGACATTTGATTTGAATCTCTATGTCTACAACGAGTTTAGTTTCAGAATTGCTTGCAATAAATATACTGTAATGTTCAAGCAAACGTTGCAAACTTTTTTGATGGGTGAACATTTTGTAGTATTCTGAGTGATAAACACCTTTTTTATCTAGTTCCTCGCGTGGTATTTCTCTTAACTTTTGGAAACAAAAGTTAAGAGAAATACTACATCATCTTTTGCCTCTGGGTCATGATAGGAAAACCTTTGCCTTAAACATACCATTAGTTTTTCCAAAGCGTCACGCAAACTGGTTTTTCCAATCTGAAAATAAATTTAGTAATTACTAGGAGACACTTTTAAAAACCGCTTAAAGAACATATCCAAAATGCACCAAATCCAATTTTTAAAGGATAAGAGATGTAAAAATATAAATTTATATTTTTACATATATATTATAAGATTTATATATTTTTTATTTATTTACGTAGATATAGGAAATAATATCTAAATCAAATAAACAGAAATACCTTTTATTTAGGATCATCCTCCTGGCAAACAATGCATTTAGTAAAGTCAAAAATAAGTTTTTTTTTTTTTTTTTTTTTCTTCGTCCTTCTTTTGTTAATAACATTTAATATGTAAAACAGCAACAACACAGTATAGAAATGTTTTTAAAAGCCAAAAACAAAAACAAATCATTCGAATTGTTGCATTCTTATAAGTAGATTTATGTAAAAATAAAATAACATTATCAAAACATTTAAAATAATACAATCGTTAAGTATGAAATATTTCATCAAAACAGGTACAATGTTGTAAAAATCTGGAGGTCAAAAAAAATGATTTTAGTCTAAAACATGTTTTAAACAATATAAACTTTATAATAACTAATATTTCTTAAATTATAATAAAAAACAAATTTAAAAAAATATAAAATCGGCGTTCAAGAATTTTTTAAAAATCATTAAAAGTCACAAAGCAGCAGTTTACCCCCGGTTTGATAAAAACATATTTACCCCTGTATATTTTTAAGTAAAAACTTTCAACATATGTTTTTTATATTATTTTGAATACCTGATTTATGCTCTTTTGATTGGTATAAAAAAATTTAATTTGCTAAAAAAAACACCTGTCATTTTTCAAATCCTTATCATACAAGGATCTCATATCAGCAAAAAGTTTGATGTAACACGTATGTACACACAAAGGTACATAGTGGCCTGCATTAAAATATTTATTACACAATTATATTATGTATCTATAATAATATTAGAAAACTTAATTGTATTAATAGCATTCCTATATATTTAATGTACTATTATTATTTTAATTTTAAAAAAATCATAGTTAAAATTTGTGTGGCCTTAGTAAAAATTGCTTCTGTGCTGGGGCCTTAGTAAAAATTGCCTCTGTGCTGGAGCCTTAGTAAGAAAATCTCTATTAAAAGATATCTAAATATTAAACAAATGTAAAAACTTTATTATTTACCTCAAGTTTGTTATTTATTTTCAAAAAATTTCAAAACACAAAAAATTATTATAGAAAACTAAAAAAAAAATTAACAAATTTTTTTGAGGATTGATTTTAACATATGGTCAATGTATCCCGTTTGGGTACAAACAAACTGTTTAGAATTTACTTTGATATATTAAAATCATAAAATAGTCTTTGAATAAACTTGATTGGGCCAACCTACCTTTATGCCTAACCTGCCCCAGTCTACCCTATATTAAATATGTTAAACTATTCCAGAGTTATAAACTCTGTATAAATAAAGTTATTATGTATTTTATAATATCATTCATAAAAAATATCTTAATATTTTATTTAAAAACTTCAGTAAAATTAATAATCAGGTGTATGTATAAAAACATCAATTTTAAAAATAACTTTATTTTAAAACTAAAAGATGATTTATATCCTGCTGCTTCTTTATGATCACTGTTACTTAAAAAAGATAATTAAATATTAGAAAAGTACAAAATATGAACTAACCCAACCCTGAAACAATCGTAACAACCAATCAACTTAAATCACTGTTAAATCATTGCTTGAAACAGAACCACATAATTCAAAAATATAAACTGAAGTATAAAAAAAATAAACTTATAAATCATTCAAACATTTCATTTTAAGCTATATAGCATTTAAAGCATCACTAAAACACTAAAAAACCTCATCGCTACCATTTTTTTCAATAATAGAGTTCCTTTATGCTATCTTTTTTTAGTAGTTATAAGCTATTAGTTTAATCACTTTTGACTGCTATCATGACCAGATTGAACAGCAAAATGTAAACTGATTTTTATTTTGTGTTACTAAAACCAATACTAACACTAATTCATAGTAAGCTATAATTA